CCCCAAAACCCCAAAACCCCAAAACCCCTTAGTTGATATCAAAGGTTGAACTTAATTATGTGATTTGCAAGCAGTGTAGATTTCTCTCAATAAATTTCATATTTTGATTGACCCAATTTTCGCTGTATTTCCTCATAGTTAATTTATTTGAGGTTGTCTTCCCAGCCTTCCTTATAGGGTTATGGATTCTGTGGTTTATCTTAAGATTTCCAACATGTAGCTCCTATATTGGTTGGTTTTAAGAAGATTTATATAAATATATCAGGTGAATTTACCAGCTAAACCAAAGAGGGTAAATAAAAATATAATCTAGAATTAACGTACCAATCTCGATGTAGGTGAGGTTGTAAACTCTGCTTTTGGAGCTAAGGACTTCCTCGAGTTATTTTAAGGCCACTAAAGATGAGTACAAGGGTTATACATAAATTGACTCCTTTCATTCTTTGCATCGAAAGGAGCTTGAAATATTCAGTTGATTTATCTTCTCTCAGAGACCTCTTACCTTCTCTGGTAAGGCTCTTAGCATGCTGTTCTGCTCTTCTAGTAGTGTTTAAGATCTTATCAATCTTCTTAACAACCTTTAGCTTTCTTTGTTTGTTCATTTTATTGTCTTTACACAGTTAGGAGTGAAAATGCTTACTTGAAATCTCCATTGAAATGCCATTCATCATCTTTATTGAAGACTTCAGGATCCTTCTTTGAGTTGATGCTTCCTATAGCTCATTCAGGATGAGTACCTTTGTGCCAGATTTACTTGAATTGATTTGTAAAATAGGGTCAGCTCATTGATAAGTCCCTCTCTCAGGCAACTGTCTTTCTGAGTTGTTCAATAAATGATTAGTTCTGTTATCAGTTGAGAAATTCGTTGGAGAATCATGCAATAAAATACCAGGCTTCTCCCTTCTCATGGCATGTGTCTTAGGGATATCTGAGTATGAATAATTATAAATTCAAGGGAAACTATCCTGATACGAGTTATCAGCATTCTTAGTAACCCACTTTTTGTGTTTGGGTTCTTGGGAAGCCATAATTGAGTATTTTGATTTCATAAATTTCAGAACTTGATTCGTATTTTTCCCTATGAGTTTAATGAGCACTTTACTTTTCTGACTAACTATCTTCCTGGGCTTAGTTACATTAATAAGCAAATTAGCCTGGTTCAAGGGATTTTTCTTGGAACTCTGATAACAATTTTGATTACTTGATCTTTGGATTTTATCATAAAGGATCCCTTTTATTGATTTCACCACAATATCATTACTAAGAGGCTGGTTTTGATCAATAGATTGGAATATAGTTGAGTCTTTTAACTCAACAGTATCGTTCAAAGCAGAAATACTTTGATTACATTTTCCTGCTCTTTGAATTGTGATATCTATACCCAAAATTATCTTCTTGATTCTCTAAAGCTTCATCTTCTGCTAAAATAGTGAAAACTAAATTCTTGTTATAAGCTATGATAGAAAATTTGACATAGCTTATAAACTTCTAGAATTATTCAAACAGAAAATGTGCATACCAATCGTCAGTTTCTCAGGCTTGCTGTATGTAACATTTTGCCTAAAACCTTGTCATATTAGTTCAAATTTGATGAAAACTTACAAATTTTGTGTAAAAGATTGATTATCCTCCTCGGAGCCTTGGCTTGGGCTATCCATTGTCTCTCAATATGGTTAATTATATAAATTGCAATATCAAGCAATAATAATGGGGTTTTGGGGTTTTGGGGTTTTGGGGTTTTGGGG